GCTGAAGCCAGAAAAGAGGACGTGATTTGGCCATAGCGTACTCCTCTGCGTTACTAAAATCCTGGTGTCCCTTCCTGTTCTGCTGAAGATCAAATAGATCTTTATCTGCTCAGATCTCCTCCACTGCTAACTAACTAATAATAAAAAAATTGGACACACAATAGTTAATGTGAATGAGCCGTGACTTGAAATAGCAGGTGACAGATGGAGACAAAAGACAGACTATCCTGACGCTTCTATCTTTAATGTTTGTTTATGCTAAAAATATGCTTCAGCCCAGCAAGCTCGTCTTTGCGTATCACCTTCACTGTAAACCTAACCTATACTTCAGAACCACCCCCAGCCCAAAATCCAAATATTGCAGGTGTTTTCTGAAATAATCAGGAGCTCTGGGCTCAGAATCTGGAAGACTGGGTTTAAGATAAAAAAGAAAACAACAAAAAAGACCCCTAACATAGCTTCCAAGGTTTTATTTTCTCATATTCAGAGTGAGCGAGTGTCTGTCTGCTTCCCATTGATGCCAAACACGATGCTCCTCACTAGGAGGCTGTGAGTCCTACCCCCACTACCGGGCGGAGGCTTAGGAGTGCAGATCCCTATGGTGATCCGCACTTTGGCGGCCACTTGCCTGGGGAAGGATCATGGACCCTGTTGCATGAATAAGCCCAGGGTGAAATCCTACACCTGATGTAGAGATCAGGGCCACCATGTGCATAAAATAAACCTCCTACCACGGTACTGACAGTTCCTCTTAGGCCTCTTACACCAAGATATTAATTACCTTAGTTTAGACTGTATTTTTATACCGCTGTGCAAAAGTATGATGGATAATTCTGGAATAAAAGGGTTGGCTTGGAAAATGTCACGAGAGATGCGTACTTGCATGCAGATTATGCTGTCTTTCCAAAATACACATCAGCGTTACCCTTTTTTTAATATATATGTTATATACACACCACAGGCTCAATTCTCCCATATTGGTGCTTCTCTTCATGCTCGAACTCCTTACATCTACAGAGTCCCTGAAGAAGCAAAACAGTTTTTTCTGATATTGAACATAATGTACGGGATCTTTCCCCAGCTGCTGGCTTACAGATGTGTCAACAAGCCAGAGTTTTTTATGAAAACAAAACAAGAAGAAAAAACGGAATAGCAAAGCTCCTCTTTTTGGCCACATATATAATTGGGTTGGGATGTAACTGAACTGCTCAAATGGAACCCAAATGAAGCCTGTAAGACATATAAAATCACACAATTGTGTAAAGTTGCACGGTCTTTTTTGTTTATCCTACTCAAAAAGGGAAAATAAAGACGACTGCCTTCAGTACCACTTCTCAACATTTTGACTTTGCGCGGCAGCGGGGTTGCTAATTCACATAGCGACTTTTCAGTAAGCTGCTTTGACAGTTCTAGAAATACTGCATGAAGTTTAGTAGTAATAATGATGTCAATGTTTAGCCTCCACACGCTGAAGAGTATCAGTGCTAGCAACCCTTATGCAGAGCTAGGGTAGAATGTGACGGTCAACGTTTTGAAGTGTCAGAAATTAACGTACATAACTCTGTCACATGCACATGTTTTATTTGTCAAAAAGTATGTCTTGTGGGTCAGCCTTGTTAAAAAACCCAAGAAATCTTTTAAGAAGCAATCAACTCTTATGGTAAGACTCCATATATGATAAGCAAATCATATAGTTTTGTTAGTTCTTTTAAGGATTCACTTCTGCAATTCTGGAAGTTAAGCATGTGCTTACTAGCACTTCTGCACCGGGCACGGAGGGCTCGTTCCCGTGAACAACCAGGCCTTGCGCTGTAGCATGCATTTGCAGAGAGGAGGGTTTTTTTGGCCGTGTTCTGCTCTGCAGCTACTTTTGCTAATGCCGTTGGGTCATCAACAAGTAGCAGCAAATACAGCGACCTTGGTTTGTGTAGCTGATGTTTCTATTTGCAATTACAACTATTTCTATGACTTCTACGTGTATTTATAGTAAAAGCAGGACAGTTAGTGCCTTTCTCACAGATGAAATTAGCTGATACTTTTTAACTGGAAACACTTTATTTTGGGATGTTGACTTTTGGGTGTTTTGATTTAGAGAATTTTCATTGTTTTGTTAAGCCTAATCGGTAGCAAGAAAGCTTCAGCTCATGCGCATGCGCGTTGCAGCCTGCACGAGGGGACTTCCAGAGCAGCAAGAAACTGGCGCTTTAGCAGTCTCCCGTTGAACACTGAGGTGCAGTTCACAGCAGTGCTCAGAAGAGAGAACCCACGGTTTTATACCTCCAGCCAAAGGGGCAGGTCCAAAATAACCGCCAGGCATCTCTGTCGGTGCTTCCTGGCCAAAAGGAACTTGGCAGTAGTTCCTCCAGCACCCGGCCTCCCTGGTGTGGGCTCCTCCCAAGTACGCTAGAATTCGGGGTGGCTCCACCCCAGCACGGCCTCCCAAGAAAACAAAGCCGGAGCCGCTGGGCTGCAGCAGGACATGCTGGCTCCCACACAGGGATGCGAGCCTCCCCTGGGACTTCTGATGTTCTTAAAGAAACTTTGAATACATTCAAGGTGAATTTAATAACCTCCCGTTATCCAGAAAAGGCAAAGTACAGAAAAAATAAAAGATCTCACCTGCACTTGTATCTATTATGGTCAACTCATGTTAACAGAATGTTTTGCTTTAATACTTGACTTACATTAATACCTCACATTATTACACGTATGAAGCCAAATATGACGCTAACTTAGTTGCTTACAACCTCAAACCTTACTCCCAATACACATTCCAATAAATTTATTCTGTAAAAACAATACATTTTTTTGTTTTCTTTTTGTTTTGTTTTTTGTTTTTTTGTTGTGGTTTTTTTAGTTTTTTACAGTAAACTCGTCAACTACAAACCTTGAATACGCAAAAGATGTTCCAAGGACAAGCATAACAAGGATTGATAAAACCAGACTAAATATGTTTTCACAATAAAAGCTGGCATAAAAATAAATAAAAATCTCTATTATCACAATAGCAACAATAATGTACACAGAATAATGGATCTGGAATGCTTACTTACTAGTCTAGTTCTATTTCCAAAAGGAAAAAAAAGCCAGAATGACAGCATCCTTTTTTAAGCCTTTCATTATTTAAAATTGATGTTTTCTTTTGGTTTCCCATAGGGTTCTATATCACAGTAAGCTTAAAAATGGAAAGCATCCAAATGAACAATTTCAAATTGTGTTGGCATTGGAAAAAATCCTTGTATTAATCTAAAGAAACACAAAAAGACTTTCACTAACTCCACATATAGGAACTAAGTCAGATAGTGTACATTACATCATGATTTTGAGAAGTATTAAGAGTATAACTAGCTAGGTACTTCTAATAAGGAAAGGTATTTTATTACATTATTGAACTTGGCGGTGATCTCAACTGAAGAAGAATTTCTTTTATGCTGGAAACTGATCAAAACTCAACAAAGTATGGATCTAGGGAAATTTAAAAGTATGTTTGTAGGTGGAAGATATTGTTGTAGTCTTGTATGGAGGGGACTCACTTCTAAGATTTACTTGTTTTTAAAAAAATGCTGATTTAGAATGATATAACTTGGAGTTACACCTTTTCTATCTAGAAAAGGAATCTAAAACATGTTCAAGTATGCGATATCTTCATAAACCTCAGCCACTGGTAAAGGGCAACTTCATGCAACCAAATAATATGAAAATCAAAAAGTAACCCTTAGAAAAAAGGGTAAAATGTCATTTCTGCAAACACAACAGATAGGAATGTGAATAATGTGCATACAAACTGGGATGCTGTTGATGGTACTAATGAACAGATGTGGTGACTCATATCAAATCCAAGAATATTAGACAACCAAACATGGTAACCTTCTTGTGTTTTCCCTTAATATTCAGCAGTCATTATGTTGGTTAAGTCTGAAAAAGAAAAGAGAGAGAGAGAAAAAAATATAACATTTAATGTAAGAAAAAACACGCTGCAACAAACACGGTACAATTAATGCTGTATTCCTGCACTTCAAAGTCACAGGTACAAGGAACTACCTGGTCTGTTTGAACAGAAATTTTCTTCTGAAGAAAACTGCTTATGTTACATCAGCTAGACATAGCACTATGAAATACTGAAGAACACAGTTTAAAAGTAAATGCTTAGGGCTTTATTCAAATAAGCAGCTTGAATCGTGTATGTTGGTTGGTTTATGTGTTCCCCAATCACTTAATTACGAATCTTGTAGTATACTTCACACACAACCAGATTTTGCATTTTTCCACTCACTAAATCACTGATACGCTTCACGCAAAAGCTGAGGCACTGCTGTATTCCCGAACGCCTCGCAGTGAGACGCCCTTTTGTTCAAGGAACTGAACGCTGAGCAAGGATGAGGAAAGGTAAAGGTTTTCACAGCGAACTTGGAAAGAGTTTGCCTTGGAGTTCACTGTCAGGTGATGACAGAAGAGGAAGAACTCCCGCTCCATGACTGAGTCAATGGAGTCAAGTCCAACTCCCGCTCTTGCTTCCACTGATACTAGTGGGAACAGGATCAGTCTGTCCTCATGTGATCATGGCAAGTGTCTCCAAGTCTCGGTGTCTTCACATTAAACAGAGAGAGCAAAACTCACCGACAGGCACAGGGACGCACTGCTTTCATCCAACAACATGAAGACATGCAATGCTACGTGACTACCTAGCCCTGAGCAAGACGTCCCCTCTCCTCTGTAAAGAATGCAGAGTGTGAATAGTTGTCCACCCACACCCTGACGGATGGAAAAAAACACAATATACAAGCAGTACGAAGGAATTAGTACTGTATTTGGTGTGATCATCCAAGAAAAAAACATCAAGGAATAAGGGAGGGTGTACAGGTAAAATCTGCTGGGGATGATGGAATTTTCATTTTACACAGGATCTGGAGTAGGACATAAAAAGAAGACATTTTAGCTTCCCTGCAGTAGCAGTTTGCTACCTAAGCTCTCTCCTGCTCTGGCCCATCACACCTGCTGTGTGGATGCCACAGCTATAGTGGACTATGCTGCTCTGTCCAAGGGCATAAGAGTGTACGAGTGCCCACTTCGCAGTCTGGGATCCCAGTCTGGTTGCTGCACCTCTGAACTAAGGGCTGTGGTTGTTCAACATGGTTCTTCTCTCCCACAACAAGGGGTTTGCAAACAGTAAGTAATGGAAACCTGCCCTTTCCGTGTGGGAGGTCCTGGTACATCCTGACGAATGACACATGATAAGGGGTTATTATAAAATGCTCAGGCATGTAAAGATGGCTTACAGGAACTGCCGGAGCCCTGCCTCCCCCCGAAAGGTGTATCAATGTGCTGCTCATCCAGAGCACCGCACCTCCATTGACCTCCCTCCCGTGTAAGGGTCAATGAGATGATTATACTTCCAGATGCTTTGGAGACGTGGCTTGGAGGGGTTCGCTGCCGTTTCTTTCCCTCCAGAGGGAGGTGCAGACACCCATTAAACCAACAACAAATGGTGAGTCAGTCAAACCATCCCTTCTGCTGAAGTTCCCAATGACAGCTGCTACCCAGCACTGACAGGCAGGACGGGCGGTGAAACAGTCCGGCCCTACGGTATTGCTCTCAGACCCAGTAAGGAAAGCCGTCCTTTTGGAGCATGAAACCTTTGCACTTACTAACAACGATTCCCCTCTAGGCTAAGGCCAGAAGGCTGGGTAAGCACCATTCTCACACGGGGCACTGGGAATATTAATACTTCCACTTCCCGGCATCTCACAGATATGTCTGTTGGGCCACGGTGTGGCACAAGAGGGACGACGATGAGCCAGGTATGCAAATCGTCCTCTAGGATTTTCACAGTGTCCAGCACCATCTTCCAGCATGACATACGTTTTGTCTCCCAGGCACGCTCCCAGGTGCCCCAGAAGTCAGCAGTTCTCTTCTCCCCAGCTGCCGTCAGCCCCCGGGGCCAGCGGGGCCGCACAGGGACATCGGCTCCTTCCCCTGCCCAGCAGGCGCTGTCAGGCCCCCGCGGCCGCCGCGCAACAGGGATGCGGCAGAGCTGAGCAGTTTCCATGGTCTCCATGGTTTCACGTCTCTTCAGAAACAGATCAACTCGCATCATCTTTGTTTGAACAAGTCTCTCGGCTTTACTGTAAAGATATGGTGCAACGTGTGCCACACTGACCAACGCTACTCCACACAAAAGAAAGAGCACAGAATCCGACTGATTCGCGTGAAAAATTTCAGTCATCAATAAAACTGAAGGACAGAGAACACAGAGAGCAGGGCATAAAACTAAATCCACAAATTGCCTTGGCTTTTTCTGGCACTGAAAATTCCTTCCTCAACAGTGTCTGGCAACTGACTCAGCCATCCTGCACTTTAAAAGCTTCGCTGCACGGGCAGAAGGGTAATTATTTTACTTGCTCGGTACAATCATTGTTATTCCATGTTGGTTTGACATCAAAATGGCTACAGGATTCAATGTACACAGAGATGCGAAGAGTCCATTTCATCTATTCTGGCTGCTTTAATCTCAACTTGCATTCAGACGTTTATGTTTCTCCTGAGTTATGTCCCATTGCTTTACTTAGCAGTGCCACTACCCTGAGCCATGCGAAGGCAGCAGACAACACCCCTCTCTACACCAGAGAGTATGCCACTATTTGATTTCTACATAGAAGTTTTTACTGTGCAATAGTTAAACACATTTTTACAAATGTTATCTTTTTTGGAAGGGTAGATTTTAACTTACCTCAAATTAAAAAAAAAAATACAAGACAGAAATAGGTACTGTTTTCATTTTCTGGAAAAATGCCCACATAAATGCTTTTACATCGAATAGAGCCCTAAATGCTATGCTTTTATGTTGATAAAACCCCAAACCTGTCATGCAGCATAACCAATGTTATTCTTGCGAGGTAAAGAAGGAAGAACAAAGGAACCAAACATCTCAAAACCACATCAGAAGGACACAATGAACCTGTGTTTCTCTGGCCAGTTTGGCCACACCACTTGTCTTTCACAGTGGTAACTGGAATTGTTGCTACCCCCCAAGAACATCACAACAAAAAATATGTCCTGGACACAGGCTGTTTTAAATATGTTCTCCCAATTGCAATAGTATCAGATGGCAGTAATTTTGGACCAGATTTTGATCCCCTTATTCATGCTGGCAAGCAGTCGCCTCCACAAATAGATCCACTGACTCCCATGTTAGTAACTGATTGTCAGTGTGAGTAAAAAGATCGCAGCCCTTTACCCCACTTTAATATTCAGGCGGCACCAGGAGCAAAAAAAATATTTAATTTCCAACAAATCTACGACTTTTCAAAGACTCAGCAAGATCATTCACCTCCTGAAAGGCAACCACATGCATCCCTACAATAAGAGAATGACTCATTTGCCAACACAATGTCTGGGCTGTAACTAAAGTAATGAATACCAAAAGAAAAACTTGCCACATACCCTGAGCGCTGACCTTAACATTCAAATAGTCCCTAACAGGGCAGGGACTACAACCAGCTTTCAAACGTCATTATATGGGTATCCAGAGAGTAAAAGTAAAAAGCAACTTAGGTGTTCAGTTATAAAGATTCAGAGTTACGCCAGCCAAGAACCAAACACACAAGTCACCGGAGATTTAAATGTGGAATGTAAATCTGCTGCCATGAATTCACTGATTTATGAGCTAATTTTGTACCATAGAAAGTAAACAACACAAAGCCATGAATATCTTTCCACTGGAATATTCCGTTTATGTGCTATTTTGAGAAATGCCAAACAATTTAGTATATAAGAGCAGCGGACTGTCATGGGGAGGTTCTGTGACTCTTGACTTGAGCAAACTCTGGGATGGGCTGTCTTACCTAATATATTATTAGTTAATTAATATTAGATAATAAACCCCTGAGGTTCAGGCTTTGCATCTTTCTGGGGAAGGAATCAGCTGAAGAACAGCAGTGACGGAAAGAGCTTCAGAAACAGGTAGTGGCAGGACACAATTATAAATTGTGGCTGAGTCTGAGGAAGCTAATGTCTCTTCTGTTGAGAGTGCCTGTAGTCCTCAAGAACAGTTGAGAAACTAAGGGATGGGGATAAAGAAAACAACGCAGCTTTGTCAACCCCAGGGATAAAAAAAAAAATCACAAGTTAAGCCGTTGAACAGTATGAAATTGGCTGAAAAAATATCATAGCTTTGGAAGTACTTTTATTTGCTCTGGGTTTTGAGTCTTTCGGAAGCCATCACTTCACATTTTCAAGCTTTCCTCTACCACCTGGAGGTTAGAAATCTCATTAAAAAATATAGGTGAAGATGCTGCTACAATCATTTGACTTCAGCCGTTAACCCTTCAAGAAGATCCCCATAATGCTGAGGGTGATTAAAAGGCAAGGGTCCTTCTGGCCTGAAGAAGGGAGTCGTCTCTTCAGCCTGCAGTCCAGGCATTACAAAACACAATCACTCCCTCGTTATTATTAGTAGCTTTATTAAGAGAAAAGCTGCTTGTGCCCTTTAGGCAACTCTTGTGTGGTCAGAGACCTGGGAGGTGCAGAGCACGGGCGCCAAAGGCTTTGCAGGACGCAGCCCGCGGGGAGCACCACAAGTAGGGCAGCTGAGCCCACAGCCTTCTGCCCACCTGCCTTCCACCGCCCTTCCCAGCCTCCATACCAGGCGTCTTCCAAGCAGCCGGTCACGGTGGCCAAACCAGGGGAATGGGACATGCCTGTCCTTGAGATCAGGGCCCTGAACTCTTGTTTTTCTTGTCTCTTTGCCTTCGTGGTTCCTTTCTACATTTATTTTGAAACACGTTTTTCCGGTGTGTCTCGCGCAGCCCCCAACACCCCACCTCCGGGGGAGGGAGGGAGGTTGCACCCCATTTTGGTGTGTTCTTGGCGCCATCTCATGGCCAGACAGCCGTCCTGAGGTTGGCTGGCCTCGCAGGAAGGCGAAGCGGTGGGTATGCAGCTCCTGTGCTGCACAGAGGCTGCCTGTTGTTGGTCCAGTGCTCTTCTCACAAGCTAAACGATTTTAAAGAGACCATAATCTCATGAACGATGGTGTGTTTTAGCAGACCTAGACATTCTTCTGAATTCATGCATTTGAAGAAGAGGACCAGATCCCAACTCTGCAGGCACATGTTGGTCTTTTTCATCCTTCCTTTCTACAGGAGAGACATCCAAGTGCATGGGCGACTCCCAGTCTGGATATCCAGCAGAATGTGGCTGCAGGACAGCCGGCCCTGTACCCCAGGAGGTCAGCCTAGACACACACTGTGTGACCGGCTGTTTAACACCAACTGAAAAAAAAAAGTCTGATTACTCTTTCCCTGAGTGCCTTGTGTCTGATGAAGGCATACCTTCTAAAAAGACACCTGGCCTGCCTTTGAGGACACCAGGAGGTGGAGTGTCCCCTCCTGGTCCTAGAAGAGAACTGCACTACTGACAAAATCTAAAAAGAAATGCTGAAGAGGATTTCCATGTGAAATGCTGATTCTGTGGCAGAAATGCTCAAGGTGAAATATCTGGATTAGAACATGAATTTCTCCAAATTTATCAGTGCTTTTATCTCAAGCTGCCCTTAAAACCATCTCTCCACCTCTCTTCAGTATGTGCTACTAAAACTCCACCTTTCCCATAATATTAAAAGCATCCAAGATCTAGTTAAAGAGTGGTCGTTCAAGTGTGAGGTCAAGCCCAAGTGCTGGGGTTTCAGAAGGCTGAGCAGAGCCAGCTCCTCATGTGGGTAACGGCAGCGTTGACTCTGAGTATTTCTGTGGAGTTGGTGCTGGCAGGAAGGACACAAAGACTGTTGACAATATTTCAGCACAGGGGCTGAAATATCTGCAATCCTGAAAATGCTGCAGAACACCACGATGTTGGACTCTACCTCCCAGTTACAAGTATGTCACATACAGAGGGAGGAGCCATATGAATGTCACCAGCCACAAAGCCAACATCCTATGTGACATTTTAGCCACTTAATCTGTGACTGACTAAACTCAGTGAGCATTTGGTCCTTACATGGACAACATGCCTGAAGTTCACAGACATATCCCTGTCACTGCCCTCCTGAACCTCTTGCCACCTCAAATGGACCTTATGGCCAGTTTTCTCACTCAAATGCCTATTTGAAGATAACAACAGTGTCACAGGGCTCACTAGCCAGAACATGGGCAACACCTGCACTACGCACTCGCCACACTCAGCAGCCCCAGACTCTCCAGTTGTGGGGGTGAGGTGCTGGGAAGGCACAGCCGGCCGTAGCGTCTCCTTGCATCAGTCTCTGGCTCGAGCCAGCTGCTCGTTCAGAGTGAATGGGAGAAGGTCAGGGCGTATTATCTTCCTGACCCCACGAGCCACAGACCAAAGCCTTTGTTAAGACGAAGAGCCAGAGAACACATACACTGTATCACAGAGAGACAAGGGGGAAGGAAGCTGTGTGAGGAGTCTTTAAGCAGGGGACGACAGCAGCTCCCCAGAGGTTGTGTTTTGTGAGAAAGGGTTGAGGCTGAGCACGCAGCTGGGTGCTAAGGCACCTCGGCAGTGTCAGATGAGAGCCTGTGCTGGCTGGCTTCCTCTCACACCTGGGGATTCGTGTCACTCAGCAGCTCCTGTGACAGCCCAGCCCGGCTGCTGGCCACGTGGCAGAGCCTTGGCATGGGAGCCGCACAAGAACTGGTTCTGAGCCGGAGCTGTAGTTGCTGGAGCAGGGAGGCTTGTGCTGCTCCAGAGGCACAGAAATAGTAGTGGTTGTTAAAGGAGCCTGACCAATTCCCATGACAATTCCCCTGCTCTGCAGCCTTCCTGTCTGTTGTTGTGGTCACAAAAAAGTAATATTGATATGAACACACAACTGACACAAGCACACACAAGGAGATCACATGAACCTGCTCTGGAGCAGACTGTATATCCCCTCCCTGAAAGATCATAACCCAAGCAGGATCTGCTCTAAAACCCACAGTATGCAGAGTCTTTAATGTGCACATGAACCCTCATGAACTCCGAAGAAGTCCGTAGGATTGCACAGATTTTAAACAAGTGTGAAAGGATAAGCAGGCTCCCACTGTTTAGTGAGCCAACATGCATTATGCAAACAGTCTGATTCTGCTCTCACATCAATTTTGCATCATTCCAGCTCCTGGTTTTCAGTAGTTACCCTGAGCTGACATCCATGCAAGTGTTGGAACAAAAATAATGCTTGTAAGTATCTTTTCTCATTTAGTTGTTTCTCTAGAGCAAAATTTATACCAGTGCAGGGTCCAGCCCCATGTTTCTGTTCTAGACACATTCTGAGCACTGAAGTGCCACGTAAAAAGACTGCACGTGGTATGCACCAATGCAGTGCCTTTCACCCCTAGCTCCAAAGGCCCCCGGTAGCAAACTGCATGGGAAATGAATTACATTAACAGAAGATTACCCCTTCACTGGTTTTCTGCAAATCTGAAGAAGTGTTTCTTGTGTCATTGCCTGCGTCCCCAGCATCAGAGCTGCTCTTATTTTCTTCCTCTTTGCAGTCCTTATCATCTTCATCTCCAGGAGATTTCCGTGACTGCTTGGAGGACTTCTAAAACGAGCAACAACAGAGTTTAAAAGTAAAAACTGAGCTTCAGCCATAGAAAGACACTTTTGTAATGTATGTGAAATACCGTCTGATCATGTGGTTCCTTGTTCAAGGTGAATATTGGGGAGGATATGTCAGGTGAAAAGTGTTTTTAAGGTGAAGTAGTTGGAGCTACTGCCATCAGTGAACCAAAAGGAGAAATTCTGTGTTCAACACAGGTTAGCAGCACAGTTGACTGTAAAGCAGACAGAGTAATAGGAGATGGGTATTAGTGCCGGGTCACCTGTAGGTTTTGTTAGTTAATGAAACAGATGGTGCCAGCTTGACAAAAGTTTTGATTAAACACAGAGATGTAAAACGAGAATAACATTAGCAGAGCTGCTTTCCATACTTTTTTTAGTGCTGTCAGCTTTAATATATTAACATTAAAGCCATGTGGAACCAATACATCTTTTCTGCTCCCTTTATGTTATGCAATTCTACAGTACAAAAGGATAAATTGTGGCATTAAGCCACCATTTTCCTAATCCTCTGTTTGCCCAGTCTTCTGGAAAGAAGATGGTAGACCAGACCTGAATTTCTAATGTAAAACACACAAAGGGGGTGAAATTACTTAATACATTTTGTTCAGTGGATGAACCACGAAAACTCACGCTCTCCCCCAGATTGAGCCTGGATCAGATTGCTTGCTTCTTTTCATTTCATTTAGTTTTCACTTTCAGAGAAGAATAACATGAATGTGAATGTACGTGACTCTGCCACACTTTCCACATTTTTTAAGCAAAGTACAGACCTGGAGGCACACAGAGAAGTGACTATAATGTTGCACCCTTTCACTCAGGTGACAAGAGAGAAGCGTATCTGAACCCAAAGTTGTCACTATGCAGGTGATTATGTTCACCAGGCATTATTAGGCAGTCTGAAACACATTACTCTTAGCTTCCTCATCTGTGCTGTTACTTAGATATTAACAGGGCAGGTAGGTACTACAATGCAGGTCTTTCATCTACAAATTGAGTGCCCTACTTCCCTCCTTAATGAATTAGTTCATCCTCCCTCCCATTATGCATCCTGTACTGAAGTATTTTACACTCAGCTGCAAGAGGGGCAGCTGAGCACATCTGGCCCTACCATATCTTTTAGCATGGCATCTGGGACTCACACTGGAGACGGGAGAGGGAAGCTTGAATTCTCCCAGACAGGAGCGAAACCTGAACTCATGTCTCCCAGGAGACACACTCCTAAGGTTTTTTTTTCCGTTCTTCATGAGGAAATACCTATCTAAGATGATCAAACCTATCAATCCATCTTTCAATGGATTTTCTTTCCGGCCCTTCTGAACTCCTTCCCATACCTTCAGCTCCTGCTCAAAGTGTGGGCACTAGGACAGGGCAGAGTATTTCAACTGCTGTCTCACCAAGGCTGTCTACAAAAGCAAGCGTGCTTCCCCCTGCCTGTTTGAACACCACCATTATGGTACTAGAATCAAAATGCTAAAGAAGGAAGAACAGATTGCCATATTCTCATTATAAATGCACATGGGTAACAATGGAAAAACTTAGAAGATAACCTTTGAAGTGTAGGATTTTTTCCGTTTTGAGCCTGCTTTTTCATTCTTTCTTTTTCCTTTTCCATCCTCTTCTACCCGATCACCTTCCTCCTCACTGCTGGCATCTGCTGTATTTCCTCCTTCTCCTTCAGTTTCTGATGAGCTCTGTTGCTGAATTGCCTTTAAAAGAACAATAAGAATACCAATAATAATATAAACAACAAAAATATCACTAAAATCTATTACTTAATTTTTGTTTTGTATTGGAGACAGAAATACTGGTAACAGACAGCTTATGCTTGAATCACTATAGTCAGGAAGAGCTCAGGTTATTGCAATTGTCAAGAAAAAAGGCTGCAAAGGCAATTTGCTCAGTCACCACTTGAAAACAGTTATCAGATGCAGATTCTGGGATAGCATGTTCTGAAGGGTTTACACAGAAACAGAAGATCTGATAGCAAAGACGTGTTTGCTGGAGAACTAAGGGTTGTTCTGTGGAGAGGATTGGCATGTCCTGCTTTGGGCAAAACTACGGAAACTTTTAGACTTGTGCTGCAATAAGAGAGACTTATTCAGGGGAGAAGACAGGTCTTACAGAACCTCCCAAAGGGTAAGATCTCTCTGTTAGGAAAAAGCAAACACTGACCAGAAGGCCGAGAGCTCTTTGACAGTCCATCTCCCACAGACTATTCACCAGGTTTTTTTAAATCCCCAAGTGTACGCAAAACATCTGCAGGGCTGAAAATGTGAAACAGGAACTGAGAGGGGCAGCAGCTTGTCTGCAGGTGGTCCGTATCTCTGGTTTGTAAGGTTTTGTGCTAATAATGTAATAGGTGTTTGCCTTCTTTCGGAGGTGATTTCTGCCTTCAAAGGACCACATTTATTTAATGAGAAAAGTTCTTTGGTTTTATACAGCCCACCAACTACTCTTCTCCCCCTCCAGCTTCACTGACTTTTTGCTCCAGACATCCAACAGGGAGAGCTGTTGCACAGCAGCTACTATCTCGTAACAGCAGCTTAAACCTCCACCTTCTCATCCCTCACAACTTTGGCAGTGCTGTCCTACATGTTATACATTATCAATGTAAAAATCAAAAGTACAGTGGCCTTAAGGTCTGTGTAAAATACACTGAATCTGATATAAACATAAACAACAGAAAGAAGTCAGAAATTATTCATGTTTATACTGGAATAAATAAAACCTTCCATTTTTAATTCAACTAAATCTGCTACAGAATTTTCCACTTCACCACCCCAGAATATCACAGAAAGCAACAGACTCTGTAGCATGAATAAGGTTCAATTTGTCACAGAGTGCAAGACCACAGTTGTCTTTACATTACACCATTACAAAAGCTGTGAAACTTTCTAGCTCCACCAAAACCAGGACCTGCCACATCACTCATACAACGTTTACATTGACAAGAAGTCTTCAGAGAAGAAAACAAGAAAGATAAGGAGGAATAGAAGTAAAAGTAGTTTACCTGATAGCCAGTAAACTTTACGCCAGGGTTGTTTTCTATTTCCCACAGGCCTTCATTAAATCCTTTTCGCTTGTTCGACTTCCCAAACTTATCTTTATATTCTTTATATGGGAAAAGGTCTTTGGGCCCCAGGAACGCACTGCATTTTAACACAGGTAACATTCAAAAAAGGACTTAACGTCTTCAAAAAAACCTAAACACATTAACAGTGCAAATGTTTTCCCTCGTCTTCTGCTCATTCCATAATTTCTTTTTCAGTTTTATTTACTTATTTGTTTACTTACTTATTTAACACACTGGCTTTGAGTTACTGCTGTGAGTCTGATTTAATGGATTGTCTCACCATTCAGATGTTTGATGTTGCAAAATCATGCTGGGTCTCTCTAGAAACAACCTAAACAAGTCTCATTTATTGTATTAACTACTGCTGGGAGCTGGCACTTGAACAGTTTATGAAAGGGATTATATGACGTAATTGCCTGCGATAGCAAGGGACCAAACTTCCAATCCTATGTGTTACAAATAAGAAAGACCTAAAAATGCCATATGAAAAGTTAAAGCATGTAAGGAGTGCCTAGAACCCATAAGCCAAAACTTATCACTTGTACTACTGGACAGAAAAAGCAGTGGCATTTGTTACTCTCTATACTGCCAGTAAGCCTGGGAGCATCTTTCTTGGAATAAGCCTCCCCATGCTAGATTCTGTGCAAACACAATAACAATGTTCTCTTTCCCAAAAATCTTATAATTTCATATAAGACAAGAACAATGGGTGAATATAGGCAGATGAGTAATACAAGGAAACAATGAGACACACAGGGTGCTTGTGGCCAAATTGTTTTTTAGACAGCACAGCAAAGGAGGGATTTTGTGCTCTGCCGCTGCAGAAGTCAGCTATGCACTGGGCCAACTAATTTCAGGCACAATGCAAGGAAAAATAATTTAAAGAGAGTGGTAATTTATCCTGCTTTTTTGACATACTTCACAGTAGAATTCTAACTTCTTATATAAAACTGAAGAAAGCATAATTTCCTTTTCATTGGGTATCTATATCCAGTGTGTTTACTGTGGTATCTATATCCAGTGTGTTTACTGTGCTCTGTATCATGCTACTGGGATGGCTAATTGTAAGTTAAATTAAAAACAGTGAACGCAAAAAAAAAACCCCTCATTCCCACATGGAAGATTCTATGTCACCAATGACCGGAGCTGAGCAAGTCACAGTGTTCTTCACTATAATCACTGTCCTACTTTCCTGATGATCTTTGCAATTAACGTTAACTCTATGGTCTCCGTTACCATGAGATCTTGGAGCTTCACCATTTACAACACATTTATTCTTGTAGCATCCCCACAATGTTGGGAAGTTGCCCTTTTTTGCAGATGGGCTTCTGAGGCACAGAGATCTGCCCAAGGTCAAACTCAAACTGATGGCAGGGTACAGAGGAAAACCCAACTCTCTTCAGTCTCGGTCTAATACTTTAATCACAGGATCGTATTTCTTCCTTGCTGTAAACATTATTTCAGATTAATGGCTGATTTATGCCCTAATTCTTCCCAGCATTCATGAATGTGCAAAGTTTCATTCACTTAAATCATCCCACTGGCCAAGAAGTTTGCCAGTATAGAGCCAACTGGTGGCTAAAGGCATCAGATGACAAGTCTCTGGGGAAAGAGCTTCCCTTTAACTACACAGGAGACAGAACGGTATCCACACTCAGTTGTGTCATTGAGAAATATCTCAATTATATAATTACAAAGCCAAGAATGCATTTCTACCTGAAAGCCAAACAGTGATTTCCAAACTAAAATATTACAGGCTACAATAAAGCAAGGGATATGAATAAATTATTTTATCTATGCTTTTGCTAATACTAGGAGATGTCTCCTTGCCAAAAATACATACAAACAGTTCTAACACAAATAACAAAGGAAAACTGCATGAAACTTAGCATGAGCTTGCTTAATTTAGCTCAACGTCATGTATGGAAATGCTTCAACAGCCTTTTATGTATAGTAAACACTGAAAAATTGTCTACATCCTTGTCTGAAATACCTTCATTGCCACAGGGAGAGTATAACAGTTTACACTGCTCTGCTATGAAACTAAGGAGTTGCAATCTACAGTTCATTTTAACAATAACACTTTTAAAATCATTAAGGTAGTAACTACAAACCATTTTCGTGTTTCTGACGTTACAGTCAGATCATGGGCTAACAAAATCCAACCCAAAAGACACTAGTAGTTTGGGATTCATTCATTTCAGAATAAAAGTGGTCAGAGGTTTTTTTCTCAAAATGTTTCTCGATAAAAATGTTTCAGTTGAAAAAAAAATTTACATTTTGGTTTCTGATTTTAAAGCACCATAAGTATATCTGAACTTCATTCTTTTTAGATTATTTTGTGACAGTAGTAGCAGATCACAATATACCAAAATATCAGGTTGTTTCACTACCGCAATGGGAAGAAATATTTTAACTAAAGAAAGGCTATTTTGATCTTTATTAAGCAGAAAGTGCCTTTAAAGATTTTTAAAACAAAATGTGACGTATGAGCTATGGGGCTTATTACGTTCTGGAATGTTAAAATTAAAAAATAAACTATAAGTTTTAAATAAAGCTTCAAACCTCTAAAATTGAATTTAAAATGTAATCAGGATTTCATTTTTCTATTTTTCGAGGAATTCTAGAAAACATGTTCCCTGCAAGTGGGGAAAGAAAAGTTTTAAAATGTAAACATTTCATGCAAAATGGAAACGGTGATTTATTTTTTTAAACTACCTTAGACATAGTTTAAAATAGACATGCATTGTAATTTTGAAACTGTACTTTGTAGCAATTACTACGAGACCTAGCTTACTCTTTCTGATCCCTCTCCTTCCCTATGAGCTCAGCCAGCTCAGTTCTTCTATCACTTCTGAGAGCTCCATCCTACAACATCCCCAGCACAAATCCACAGGAATGCATATATTTTAAAGCTATGTGAGGACTGCGTAAGGCTCCGGGGTCTGTTTCCTTTCATTTTACAAACTCCAAGTGAGTTCTCACACAGGGCACAAACCCAAACGTGTCTGAATACAGCAGCCTGATCTCTGCTGAACATCCAAGGAAAAATGTTTTCCCTGCATCTGAGTTCAGGTGACCCTTTAGCAAATTTATGCCAACGCTTTTCTTTATGGGAAACCCAGGCACTTCTTATTATTTATGCTTAGACCATGGTATACCATCCATGCAGCAATGTTCCCACCTACTTTCAGGTTTCACTTCCAGGTATTAATACAAATGAACTGGGCTCACAGGACCTATCTCTATGTTCCCAATGGCTTCAGTCAGGATTTGTTCCAATAAAATCAGTGGAGATGATGTTAGCTACAGTGGAAGAAGACATTTTCAAAGGAGAAGATCATGTACATTCACTTACGTTTCATGAGTCCCAAAAAAGAAGATGGGGTATTTATTTGCTGGAGGCTTCACGGCTCCTTCAGGGAGTTCATCAATCTATGAGACAGAAATGGAAAAAAGATTATTCCCAAATGTGGTGTCCCTCGTCCAAGAATGGTGGAAACCAAGCCATGGAAGTGCTCGTGCAGGTATCCCCCGCGCCCGGGAGGTCCCACTGTGTGCTGGGGTAGGGAAGGGAAGATGGTTGCTGATTTTTCAGGCCGGCATGTCAAAGTCAGCATAGGACAGAAACACTACAGGGAGACAACAGAAGACCAAGGAGCAGACAAAAAGTTTTAATGATTTCATGGGCACTATAATACAGAGAGGCAATAAAATCAAGTCTGCTTAAGTTAAGTGCTAACTTCAGATGCTGCCTCATCAAAGGCACCGAAGCCCAGAGGGTAATGCTGTCTGTCTCACACAGCCACCCGAATAACTTCTGCAACAAATGGGGAACAGATGGTATCTCTGAGACTCTGCAGCCGGAAAACCGGACAATGTCCCATCGGTGCTTCCTGGTGGCGATGGTGGTACCCAGTGTAAAGTGCCTAACACACAGCAGGGAGGAGGGCCTGGAACTCTCCTTCCTCTGCAGCACCCTAATAACTGCTTGTGGTCACCACTCCCCTCTATACTCCATCTCTTCTTTCACATTTTATCCTTGGCCTTATATTTCTCAATATACAGCTGCAGAGCAGCTAAGGGAGGGACGGGGAGAGCGTTCTCCTGAGATACAGCTGGGACTGGGACAAATCCCTCAGGCTGAGCAGTGCCTAGAGCCCATCTACGCATGTCTGAGTGAGAGCGTTGGTCACGAGGCAGGAGGTTAGGCCCATGACTTAGTCTTGTCCATATCTAATTTTTCAGTCCCCTGCAGAAAAAACAGAGTCCAGGTGCCTACCCACATAAACCAGAAACACAGCACAGCTTTAAATTAAGATCTAAGTGCCCGCCTTCCCAGAAACGGCACTTGTGAGCATATGCGGGCATCCAAAATTAAGTGTCCCGAGGACTCTCTGGCTAAGAGGGGCCCTAATGAATCTAGGTATCTATAGGGCAACACCAGAGAGCAGGTGAATGGCCTGCTGCCCGGGTCTTGGGCAACTCAATCTCAACATAAGCATATGGAATCCTGCCAAATGTCACTGGAACCAAGAGCAAAGTGCTGACATACCAATGCTATACAAAATCTGCTCCTCGGCAGAGCACAGGGATGGAACCTGAATGTTTTCACTCAGGAGGCCAGGCCCACATGTGCTTTCCTTCTCTCTTCCTGCCGAAGGACCCCAAACACTGAATTCTTGTTGATTAATAAACACCAGATTGTTTTCAAAGGATGTTCTCTTTCACTGTAAAGCATCTGCTGGCTACGTAGCTCTCAAAGGAGTATGAGCTTTCAGAAGAATTCAAGTCCTTTTGGTCTTTCTGCAAAGACACCCATTGGGGACAGAGAAACCAGAGCCACATGCGGAGCTGTAACATCACAGGACTCCTTTCTGCAAAAGAAATGGATGCCTATCTCTTAGGTCTAAGCAGAGCATTCTCCGAAGCTACGCCAAAATCGGGGGATATAAGAGCACTCCCAAACCATTCCCTGCCTCTCTTCTGGGGCATGACTGAGGGGTGTGGATGGTGGGGCTCTGGTATGCTGGGCCATGTGTCACCATGCACTCGTTGCCCAGCATGGTCTGCAGGAGACAATCTGTGATGGTCAGAGGTGTCACACACCTTGTGGGCACAGCAATTACCCAACTTCTTTTACTTAACAAAGCTAATGAATTGATAAATAAAAGGAGAATCTGTTCTTTAAATGCACATAGAAGGAAGATACACACTGAAGGAAGATGGAAGCGTGCATTCACTTCTGTCTCAGCTGTGTGTAAGAACAAACTGAAACGACATGAGAGGTTGTGCAGTGTCCTTTGCATCATCAGGAGTACATACAGGAAAGACTGCCCAAGATATTTTTTAGAACTCATCATTTTCTGACGTTAACTATTTGGTTTTAAGTAAACGCCCATAATGTGGTTACTTGCTCACTAATTTATGATTTAAATGCAGGTATTAGACTATAACAATGATAAAATGACTGCAGAGGAAAAACACTGCAACTCACTTTACAAACTGGTAGCAAGTCAGGGAGATAGTATGTCCCACTCTGCAACGCATTTTATGCCTCCTTAAATATGGAAGTGCCTACGCGTCAGACCAAAAAAGGCTGTGCTGGCAGTTTACCAAGTACGGGGGTAATATACCTCAACTGTCTGGATGCCACAGACGTCTTCCTCTTTATTATGACAAGGAAAATGTCCAGAGAGATACTAGACCCCAGAAAAATGTGGACTCCCGCGACTGGGACAAACGATGTCTGCTGGGACTTGAGCGCGAATCTCATTTGGCTGCTTGAAACACGGCGCCAGCTCTGGGCTGCATTACAGAACAGCGCAGTCCAGCCACTGTCTCAGCCCTTTAAGAACTTCTCATGAAATAAAGCAAACAGCTGTAAATGATCAGTAGAGCGGAGGAATGAAGACATGCTTAGTAGGGAACGCTGATCAGAAGGGAATGGGGATCTTACATCACACAGCGTGCTATGCTCCAAAGCAGCGAGGATCTTCTCCTAAGCAACATCCCAAGTGGAGTTAAGCCTCATGTTGTATTCCCAGCACTTTATAACTGTTAGCTAAGGGGCAGCACCAAATTAACAAAGGACAGCACACACATCCATCACGCCTCTCACCTGCTCCCCATTTTGTGGCATTTTTATGCCTTTATTCATCCGCATATCCCCTCTGACTATGTATCATCACAGGAGACGGTAAAAAAGCTTTTCATAGCTTTTGAAAGTTGGCATACATATACAAACACATGCAGTATAAATCTGCGCTAAACAGCCCAAGGATAGACGGTTAATGCTCCCACTCTAACATTTCACTCCGCAGCTGAGGTCAAGACTTTTCCTGCCTTCACTGATTTTGCTGTGAGCTCCCCAGCTCTCAGGCTTATGTCACTGGTCCTGTAATGAGGTTGAATATGAAGTGACAGTGCTATCTTACGGCCATTTAACTCCGTGGCAAAAACTCCAAGGGATTTAGTGAAAGATGAGACCCTCTCTGCCATTAGGAAAGATCTCTCCCTTTTTTACCTGTTTCACATGAATCCCTGCATTAGATACCATGACAGCAGAGTTTGCACAGTCCACCCATTCCCAGCAAAACCACCTTAGCCCTCGGTGAATGCTGAGCCCCTACGTGCTCATTTTAGCTGCAGAACAACCCCAGCACTCCTTGGCGATTGCTGCTGTTTTGTTAGGAACAGAAAGCAAGCGGTGCAAGCAACCATACTGCAGCCTCCTGCTGCTGCACTCAGTCACAATTTATTCCCATCCTACAAGATGTTTTGGTTAAATACGCTGAAGATTTGGTTCCGATATTTTTCCCCATATCAGCAAGATCAAAGACAGAGCGGGAGGGAGAGAAAGAGAGCGAGCATGTGAGCACAAGGGCGAGAAAAGCATCACTGCTTCGAACCAGGAACAAAAGAGATAAGTGCACCCATACTAGGACACAGTGTTGTAGTCACAGAAACCTCACTAATGACTAAAGCATCTGTCTATCAGAGAGCCAGCCTGCGATTGCACTGTGCTCCTGGAAGGAAACAAACAGATTCTAAAGTGCCCGTTATAACCTGCAATCAAACAGGAGATTCGTCCCCTCCTGAACCAGAGCAGACAGTGGGCTGGAGCCTGCTGCCACAGAAACCTGAGCGAGCAGCGCATGGCGTGCACATCTGATATGTGCATCAGCAACATCATGGGCAGCCGCTTTAATTATGGCTAAAATTAAAGCAGGTGGTTTCACATTTCGAGTTTTATCCCCTTTGCTCCTGTCGCTGTCATCTGCTTAATGAGTAACAATTGCTTTCTTTTTGCACAACCTCAGCAGAGCTGCACTTCCCAGCATTTGTTTGCCAACCAAGCAGCAGAGCTTCAAAGACGTAACTGTGCTTTTTTTTGCGTAAACAAATGCCAGGCTTCTAGGGTCAGGAACACTGAACAGAAAATCCAGCCTGTACCTCTCAAACCAGAGCAGGGCTTTATCAAATGGTGTTGCTAGGGACTACCAGTGTTCAAGTAAGAAATCCGTCTCCTTACATTGTCTTTTACAGGCTAGGATGTACACGCAGCCCGAATAATTTTCTCTCAGTGGCGCTGAGTAGCCGCTGACTTCTCAGGTAGTATTTCCAGGTGGTCCTCACGGGCTGGGTTTGGCAGTACTCACACTGCAACACTTTCTTCCCAGTTGCCACGAGGCTAGGGACCCTGGGGAGAGAGGCACTGGCTGGGTTGGACTGGAGCTGCAGAGCCGCAGCCCTGCGAGGAGGAGAGTGCAGAGCTGCCCTCCGAGAACAACAGTGGCTCCCAGAAGCACAAATCATCGCCGTGCCTGCCTCTGGGATAACGTGGCATATTCCAGACAGGCGGAGGAGCTCCCTGGGAGGGCTGGTGCAGAACCAGAGGAAGCTGTACCCCTCCTGGGTGTTCTGCTCTGCAGAGCTCTACATTCCCTGCAAAATGGGAAACATGTCTCTCCAAGACACAGAGAAAACAGCAAGCTTTGTCTCTCTGCTTGTCTATGTAAAGCAGCTTTCTGTGGAGGTTTACGTTATTGCAGCAGTCAAGAAAGGGGCAGTTCTGCCCGTCAAGGCAGAAGGGCATCCCAGATGCGTCTTCTTCCACTCAGAAGGACAGCAGGTGTCATGTTGTATGGCTACCACAAAATCTCTGTGCTGGGGATAAGCTGCTGTTCAGAAGCAGGAATTCCAGGCTGTCAGGGTGGCTTTTGGACCAGACCCTGTTCCATTATGTTCCAACAGAATTTTACACTGAAAAAAAAAGTATTATGCAAAAATGTCTATCATGATGGCCCACATGTACAGACAAGAAAGCTTTACTTCAGCATGCAGAGATGCTTATGTGGGTATTGAAACCACAAGTCCTTTTATTTTGCAAAGAGAGGGAATTAAAACTGCAGAGCAGTAATCACTGATTGTTTTGACATACTGTAAATGCCTTTGATTGGCAAAAGCACACAGAAGCATTGCAGAGATCAGTATCTCCCACTGAAATCCCTGGAGTCACTGCACAGCAGTCGAGCAAAGGCCTATAGTATTTTTGCTGCAAAGTGGTTCAAGTTGCTTATTATTGCCCAACACATGCAAGCAGCTTGATCTTTTGCAGTTAGCTTATTAGCAAAACTCTAGATGGATAAAAGCAATACTCTTCAAAATCCATTATTAAAATAGGGTATTTTGCTTTTCTACAATGTTTTTATTCAGATGGATTTAATATGCTTTTTAATAGCTAATGCTACTGGGAGTCAGCAGTATGGCAGTATTTTTTCTAAACCATTATTTAAAATACTGTTCTGTAAAATATTATTTTTTTTCTCCAGAAGATCCTAAAATGTAAAAAAAAAAAAAAAAAAAGAGTAAAAAAAAAAAAATTTCAACCTCCTTCAAGCTAAAAACTGTGACTCAAATTCTGTGGTACTTCAATTAAACAGCAATCCAACTAAAGCTGATTGAAGACTGCAGAATTTTTCTCTCATTTATCAGGACTGTATGATATTTGAAGCAGAGCACAACTCCTTCCCTAGCGTACATCACATACTAGAACTCCTAGTGTGGAATGCTGGCATATGCACTTTTTCACCCATTAAAAAAGACGCCCCTGTGAAGGGTGAGACTAGAAGCAGAATCCAACTTAATAAGGTGGAATTGCACAGCTACTAAAGTAAAAATTAAAAAAGTCTCTGGGCATGGAAGAGTGCTACCAGCAAAAACAAAAACCAAAACAAGATTAAAAACAGCAGAGCATACTTTTGAGCACTGCTGAAAATGGCTGAAGGGTATCCTGCAGACAGCCAGAAATGACAATATAAAGACATCAATCCTCCTTTTTTTTCTGTGCATGCTCAGGACCTCAACGAGATAGAAGACAATGAAGGGTTAGTTGGAGTCCAAACAATGCTGGCAGGCAATGTCTCACTAGGAAAGATCAGCAGTCTTGCAGCTGAGTTCAGCCCCTTTACATCCCTAATTAGCAGCATATTTTTAAGACAGAAAGTTGAAATACACTTTCTGCAGAGCTGCTTTAATCTTCAATATGAAAATGGGGCCAAAGCTTAGTTCTGCGTGACTGGTATCTCTATGCATGACTTTGTAGATAACAGATCTATTCATGTGATTCAAGTCCTCTGTGAGCTTTCGTGGCTGGTGGACAGAAGACTGTCAGAGGAGGAGACTTGGGGGATTACAAAGACTAGTCCTATTTCTGCCACTGGCCTCTGGGATGACCTTGGCCACATCACTGCATCTCCGTCAGTCTCACTTTTACAAATGGTACTTTCTCCTTACAGAGCCCTTGAGGTCCACTGGTAAAATGCTGGGTATTACTAATAACAAATACTTCCAGCTCTGTCAGAGGAGTATTTCAGGTTACCGAACTGTAATCCTGCCAGTGAACACACCCCAAAGTTAGACCGCTGAAAAAATGCTCTGTTTTCTCCAAATGAAGAGTTTCCCTGCCACTGTGAGTGAAGCAATGGTGCTACCACCAGGATCTTTTTTTTTTCCCAGTCTGTTCTCTAAGGAAAGGCGAGGCTGTGATCACACTATTTTGAGTCCAACTCTTACCTGCAATAACTCAGGGACACATCAGACAATTTTGCCGAACCAGACAAAAGGAGAAAGGCCAAAGAGATATTAAGTTTCCCCGTGTTTTGTGATAAATAGGCTGTCCATCAGAAGATGGACAGACAAGTAGTCCATATGCTGAGACAGCTTGCAATGCAGGCTCAACCAAAACATCAGACAACAGGGAATCTACATAAAGGCAAGCCAGAGAAAATTAAACTTCTTAAGTTTCATGGCTCACAAAGTTACTTTTTATTTGTGGATGGATTGGGAAGAGGTTGTTCATTTTCAACAAATATTGCCAGCTCTGAGGCACTTTGTGTTTACTTTTTTTCCCTTTAAACATAGTGAAGCTTGATTCTCCTTCATGCGATTTATTCCTCGGATATCAAAATACTGTTTGCAGTGTACATCCACCAAAGCAAACCATAGTAAGCCCACTAACATCAAATGAAAGCAGTTTCTGATGACAAAATCTGGTTATCCTACTTTATCATCTTACTACAAATATTTTTGTCTTGAAATATAAAAGTGTGCAAGAAGTGCACATACGAAAGTGTGTTTGGAAGACATACAGTAAATAAAACTTAATTAACCAGTGAAGACATCAACAAACAAGAAATTTTAGGGACTGCACATTCACAAACACCATATTTGTCTCCTGCCACTCTCTTCTCATAAGCCAAAGGGACATGAAAAGTCATATCATCTTTGTCCCCAAAGTGCTCAGGTAAACCCTGCCACCTTCCGTATCACGTCTCCTAGAAAGAGTGGATGACTGGTATAAGAACTAATTCGACTGAGGAGTACTTTTTGGCCTTCCAATATTTACGCTAGAATTTTACTATTATTTCATTGATTTTGTTTCCTTTTAAGGGAAGAACATGAGATAGGATTTTTTGTCCAACTTGATCAAAACCTTTTCAATTAGATGCAGCCTGCCTAGAGTGTTGACGTTCGGTCAAACACACAAAACTAGATTTTATACTTGAGGCTCATCTGTTCCACATATCCAAAGCTCCATATTCCAGTGTTCAAGCTTTTATTAAAAGAAGTGTTGCTAGTCCTTATACTCATATAGGCACACTT